GTAATGTGGCCATGGAGAACCAGAGGGCCTGAGAATGGTCCAGCTGAGCCTGTTGGCTTCACACAGGACAGGGAGGCAGAGAGCTGGGCCTGGTCCTGGAGAGATGCTGGGGAGGAGGGGAGCCAGCAGGAGGCATGGGCCAGGGGGAGTATTGCATCCCATTGCTCAGCCCCTGAGATTGATGAGCAAGGAGGCCCGTGGTCTCCCTGGAGCAGTAGAGTGGGAGCCCAACTGGAGCAGACAGAGGGGTGAGAATAAGAAGAGGAAGCAGAGGTGACAAGAACCCACCTGCAGGGGAAGGGGGCTGATATGACAGGCAGAGGTGAGTCCTGAGGGGAGGTACTGGGAGGATGGGGGACACCCAGGCAAAGCCTCTCAGGACCCAGAGCTCAGAACCCTCCCAGTGCAGCTAGAGCCACATCAGGACTGTTCCATCCCCCTCTCCAGACCTCAGTGGTCTCATGAATCTAATGTTGGGCAAAATCCAATGTACGTGCAGGCCCTCCCCACAGACTCACCAATAACTCCTCAAATCATCCCAGTACTCAAGCATGAGCACAGCTGTGGGGCACCAAACCCAGCCTTTTCCAAAGCATCTCGTGGCTCCATTTCTCCCCAAGCACCCCACCCATCCTCTCAGTGTTCAGCAAATATTGGCTGATGGCTGCTCTGTTCCAGGCCTGTGCGAGGTTCTGTGGTATGGAAGAAAACTAAGTGTGATCCTGGCCGAGGGAGGGAGACAGACAGAGTGTCCTGGATGCTGTGGTTAACATCTGGAAGGAGCCATTACTCCACCTAAGAGGTGGGGATGCTGTGTTAAAGAAGCAAGTCTGGCATAAGGGGCAGGAGTTCACCAGGCAGGCCTGGGAGAGGGGCCATCAAGGGCACAGAGTTGGGGCAGGCAGAGGGTTTGTAGGGGGCCTCACAGAGGGTGCAAGGCAGATCAGAGGAGAGGGCAGAAGTGGGCAAAGTTAGGCTGTCAGCACCCAAGAGCTGTCCCTGGAGGACATAGAGGTTATCAAAGATTTTAAAGAGGGAGGATCAATGTTGTAGGAAAATTACTCTAATGGCCTGTGAGCAGGCCAGGATAAAGTCCAAATTTGGTGAGCATGAAGGAGAGAGACACACAGGGGAGCTTAGGAGGTAAAAAAACATCTCTAGGATTTGGTAACAGCACATAGGAAGTTGAGTGGGGGAGAAGGACGTGTCTGGGAAGCCGGGAGGATAGACATGCTGCAGGTGGAGATGAGGGCAGCAGAGGAAGAGCTGAGCCTCTCTTGAATCTGATGGCTTTGCAGCATCTGGGACATCTCAGTAGAGAAGACCCACAATGGCTGTCAGCACAGAACTGACAATGAAGAATGAAGGGTCTTAAATAGAAGGACAAAGATGGGGCATCACTAGAGGCTTTAAGCAGGGAAGTAACACAATCAGATTTTGAAGAATCATTTGAGCAGCAGGGAGGAAGCTAGCCTGGGCAGAGAGAGACCAGAGGTAGGGAGACTGAGAATGAGGATGAAATATTCCCCTAGAGGCCAGGGCCCCAGCAGTGCGTCCTAGAGCAGAGACTGGGAAGCCACTGAAGCTTAAGGATCACAGGTGGACCTCACTTTTTACATAAGATCTTGACAAGTTAGGTAGTAAATAAATGATGCTTAGGCCAATGCCTTATATTCAATCCTATTTTAAATGACTCAGTTCAGAAAAGAAATAAAGAAAACAATTTCATTTACAATAGCATGAGAAAAAAATGCTTAAAAATTTAACAAAAGAAACACAAGCCTTGTACCCTAAAAACTACATATCATTGAAAGAAATTAAATATCTAAATAAATGGGAAGATATCCCATGTTCATGGATTGAAAGACAATATTGTTAAGCTGACAATATTACCAAAACTAGACTCAATACAATTCCTATCAAAATCCCAACAGTGTTTTTGGCAGAAATGGAAAAACTTATCCTAAATTCAAATGGAAATGCAGTGAACCTCAAATGACCGAAACAATCTCGAAAAAGAAGAACAAAGTCAAAGTACTCACACTTCCCAATTTCAAAACTGACTACAAAGCTACAGTAATCAAGACCTTCTAGTACTGCCAAAAAGATAAAAATATAGACCAGTGGACTAGAATTGAGAAATAAACCATTACATTTACAGTTAATTTATTTTTGACAAGGGTGCCAAGATCATTCAATGGGGAAAGGATAGTCTTTTCAACAAATGGTGCTGGGACAACTGGATAGCCACGGCAAAAAAATAAAAATTAAGTCAGAACCCCTACCTCACACCATATACAAAAATTAACTCAAAATAGATAGAGGACCTAAATGTAAGAGCTAAGATTATCAACTCTTAGAAGAAAACATAGAGATAAATCTTCATGACCTTGAATTTGGCAATGGTTTCTTGGATATGACACAAAAAGCACAAGGGAAAAATAGATAAATTGGACTTCATCAAAATCAAGAACTTTTGTGCTTCGAAGGATGCTATGAAGAAAGTGAAAAGACAACTCATAGAATGGGAGAAAATATTTGCAAATCATATTTCATATTTACCCCCTGGTGGGGGTTAGGAAGGGGGAAAACCCTTCTCTAATGTCCAGAGTACAGGCAACCTACCCTTAATGGAGTGAGTTTGCCCAAAGGGGATCTGCCCATATAGGCAATTAGAGACATGAGAATTGGGGGAGGGTGGGAAGAAGCAGGGACCCTTGCCCCTGGGCAGCCACAGTTCTCTGGGAACTTGCTCACAAATTCCCCAAATTCCCCCATATTAATTTTAGAACAGTCTTCAAAATCCGAGGAGGACGGGGGACGGCCCGGCGCCAGTGTGGGCAGCTTTCAGAAAAGGGACAGCGTGAGGGAGCGGCTGTCTGGCCTTGCCTTCTCTCCCAGCCAGGCCTCATCCATGGGAAGGTCACGAGAGGCACTAGCCGGGGGCCAAGCCCCGTGCAGGGCGCGGGCTCGGGCAACGAGCCAGAAGGTCCTGGGGCTTGAGGCCTCAGTTCCCACTGACATCAGTGCAAGGTGTCAGGGGGCCTGAATCATCGGGGCCGGGGCCAGTCCCCTCCCCCAGGGGGGGAGAGCATAGCAGAGGTATGAGGCAGCCCCAGCTAGGCAGGCGGCCCCCGCTGGGCTGGACACAGTGACTGTTTCATAGAATAAGTGAGTGGGACCCGCCGCAGGAGGAGGTGGAGATGTCATCGTCCTGGATTCCAACAGGCTGCCCCCCCAACCCCCGCCCCTTCTAATTCACAAAATTAATTCCAACGGCTAAGAGAGAAGAGCCTGTCGGCAGGGCCAGAGGGGTCATAAACACGGGAAATATTAATAGCTTCAGCCAGGCTGCCTGGGGGACTGGGGGGCCTGCCAGAGGGACTGACTTATTTAGTCTCCTCATTAATGATGTGGAAAAAAAGAGCATTTACCCAAGCCTAGGGCGGGGGCTGACCTACATCAGGGCAGGGATTGCCCAAGCTGAGGACAAAGCTCAGGGGTCCGCACGGGCCTCGGTTTCCCCCAGAGAGGACTCCTCTTTGTACTACCAGGATACCCCTGGCCCTACAACCCAGCCAGGTGTGAACTAGGTACACCAGGAGTGGCCCCCGGCTAAGCGAGGATGAATCTCCTTCCTAACCTGGGAACACGAACACACACACACACACACACACACACACACACTTGCATGTGTCTGACAACAGGATCAGCGGTACCATGCCTCTCTCCAGCCAGGTGGGTCTAACCTGGGCATATTGGACTTGTCAGGGTATAGAGATGTGTTCTGATCCAGGTTAGGATGGGCTCCTTCCTGAACGAGCCCTTTTCCTCAACCTCTTCCTGCAATTAATCAAGTCTAGTGATGCTTAAAACTAGGAACTCAAGAAGACTCCATGCATATGTGCACACACGCACACATCCACACACATATCTCTGACACCCACACCCCCAAACACATAGCAGGGCCCACTCTGTGCATGGCCTGTCCTCCCAAGGGGACCAGAAATCAGGGCAGTTGGCCCCTCTGCCCCCTCCCAAGTTCTTTAGATCCTGAGAACATCACTCCAAACAGACCTCAGGGTCTTGGTATCAGGGGTCACGGGCAAAGGAGTTTGTGAAAAAAAGCAGCTGGAAAGGGTTTGCCAAGAGCCGATTTGAGGCATGCCCAGGGCCCATGGCAGACAGGCTGGGAGAACTTCCCCCTCTACTCCGGGAAGCCCCCCAGCTCCCAGCTGCATGGCTCTGGCTGCCAGCACTGGGACAGACACAGACAGAGTGGTACTGGCAGCAGCTAGGGCTGGGAGCCTGCCGAGTCCCAAGCTGGAATGAGGGAGAAACCTGTCCAGCGATGAGATCAAGGAGATGGCACCAATGTCTCCCCAGGGAACCGGGCTCCACGTCCCAGGACATTCCAAACTCTGTGAACAAAACATGGGGTGGGAGGTCGGCCAGACTGGGCCAGTGCCAGGTGGCCCCCCACCCCTCCCATCAGTGGGGAAGGGGGAGCCCTACCCTGACAGGGGGACCAGCTGGGAACGTAGCAAGAGCTGCCGGGAATGCTGCCTGCACAAGTCGCCTGGGGACGCAGCATCCAGACACCTGCCACGTTCCCTAGGCAGGGTGCCACGCGGTATCATCTGCCCGGTCTCCCTGAGCTGGGCCCTGGGAGGAGCACTATGGGCCGCCAAGCCCACACATCCACCTGCATGGAGCAGTTCAATGCAGCAAACACCTTCAAAGCCACGATTACACTTAATAACCCCTGAAGGAAGCCAAGCCTGGCACGTTTCCCCCTTTCTTCGGAAATGAGGGCCCAGAGTGGAATTTGCTGGCGGCCACACAGTTATTCAGAGGCTGATGCAGATTCTCACCCAGGATTGCTGCCTCCCACTCTGAGTTCTTTCCACTATACTTTGTCCTGACAGCAGGAGGCCACCAAGACCCTGGGCTCAGCCTGCCTGACCAAACCCCAATTCCACAAAAGAGCCTGAAAAATCAGCAAGTTCAATGTCTTCATTCTATAAAAAGATTAACTGGGAATTAAAAAAAAATAAAAAGACAAAGGCTTGCTCATGGTCAGAGGGCACCAGAGGTGAAGGTGAGATTCTAACGAGGATGCTCATGGGTACCAAGCCTGGCAACTGATGCCAAGACAGCTGGTCAGCACTCAGTTTCCTTGGCCAAGAGGTGGGGGAGTAGTAGGAAGGCCTCCTGGAAGAGGTGTTTTTCCCAACAGTCCAGTCCTCTGTGATGCCCATTCAGGTGACCCTAGGTAGAGACAGCAATAGATCAATAAAAGGAAAATTGCAAAGAAGAATCAGAGGGTAAGCTATATTGCCCATGTGACCTCGGGATAGTCCCTCCCCCTCTCCAGGCCTCAGTGGTCTCATGAATACAATGGGGGCAAAGGATGCTGGCCCCAGGCAGGTCACACAGTGACTCACTAGCTCAAACACTCATGGCTCAGCGCTCGGACTAGCCCAGGGTTCCCAGATACTGACCAGATTTAGGAGCCCTCAAGTTCTAGTGGGGCACCTTGGGAGGGCAGGGATGCAGGTTGCCCCTGGCTTAGCTGGGACATAAGTCCAGAGAAGGGGACAGGTAAAGTCTTGGAGATAGGAATAGTCCTGGCAGGAGCTGGACAAGCAATAAATGGACAGAGGATAGAAAGTATGGGCGTGGGTGGTAGTGTCAGCAGCTTGGACCATATTCCATACATGATAGGAAACCAAAGAGATTAAGTAAGGCAGGGTTGTGGTCAGACTGACCATGGCTTGGGGAACACTGGCTCACGGAAGAAGTCATGGTCGAACAGCTCAGCAGTGGCTGTGGAGGCGGCAGCACAAGTCAAGAAGTCTTGGAGCAAGATCAGAGATTGAGGCTTTTTCTCTCCACATGAATCCCGGACTACGGAACCCTCGAAGACAAAAGAGGGACTTTGGTCCACAGCGTGGGCATCGGGAGGCAGGACTGGACTGATGACCAGGTGCTGACGCAGAGGGAGCTTGGCCATCACAGCCCTCTGCACAGAGGGGCCACCCCTGGGGCTGGAGCAGGTCACGCTGACCGAGGGCACAACGACCATCTGGCTCCCTGGGCTCCACCCAGCAGCCCTTGCTTGTGGCGCAGAATGGTTCCCAGAAATCAGCGATTCAAATATCCACATCGAAGCGAGGCAAAGCATGAGCGAAGATAGATTCAAGGAGGAATTCAGCCATTCTGAGCCAGTGAAGGCTCGCTGAGCAACTACTATGTCCAGGCTTGGGGCAGGTGTAGAGCGAGGTGGAAGGCAGGGAGGGGGTGGTGTAGCACCCAGAGATGCATGAGCCAGGTAGCTCCCAGGGGGACTGGGCAGTGGGCATCAGCAAGGACCCGGAAGATCAGGGCCTTGGCCGTAGAGAGGAGCTGGGAAGGAGAAGAGGCAGGAGGGCCCAGGGCGGTGGAAGGTAGGGGGATGCAGCAGGAGAGTGTGGGATGCCGGAGTCTGCAAGTGAGTGGGAAGCAGGGGAGAGGGAGGCGGCTGGGTGAGGGGACCTCACAGAGGGAAAGGGGCTCATTAGTCCAGCCTAACTCTGGTCTAGGAAGACCAGGACCCCGGAGCCCACCTTTCCCCAAACCGGCTGTCTTGCCAGGTTTTGGTGGAGACACAGAAGCAGGGCTACGGGCCATTTTCACCTTTTAAAAACCACAGACATCCACGCTGGGCACCGGAGCCAAATTTCTGGGAGAGACAGAGGCCCTGTGGGCGCTTCGCCTGACGTCAATCAGGGCTTCTCTTTTTGTGTCTGCGGCTTTGACAGGAGGAGGCCAGATTAGGGGGCCGAGCTGAGAGAGCAAGAGGACGACCAGAGGCCAAGTGCGGCCCCGCTCTTCTGACCTGTCCTCTTGTGTGCAAAGCGCTTGTTGGGGTGGCTTGGGGCCCTGCTGATGGGCAAGGCAGGTGTCACTTACCGGGCAGGTGCCAGGGGCTGGAGCATCTGGAGTCCAGTGCCAGGATGGGACCCCTCACCAGCCCCAGTCCTGAGCCCTAACATTTAAGCCAAACTTGTAGTCTGGGAGACTCTGAAGGAGGCCCTTTGACTACAGAGTCAGCACCATCCACTAAGGGATGGTAGATGCCTCCTGGGCTACAGACCCTCCCCCAGTGGGCTCCCAGGGGGGGTCTGTCCTGCTGCCCCTCCCTCCTCAGAGCAGTCCCTCCCTCCAGGCCAGAGCTCTCACAGTGGCCCCCCACCCACCCTTCCTGCTCCAGCCCTCTTGACATAGCTGCCCAAGCTGTCAGCTCCATGTTTCTGCGGCTCAGTCCAACTCCCCAGCAGTGAGCTTCTGAGACGGGGAAACTGAGGCCCAGAGAGGGCTGAGGGGTCCAGCCCAGGCATCAGGGCACATTTTGCTAAAGAAAGAACTAGACTGCAGTGCCCTTTCCACCCACCAAGCTTGGCCTCAGCCTTCATTCTGCCTCTGGTCCCCTTTATGAGGTTTCAGGAATCAGGGAGCAGCTGGTGACAGAGGCTGGACAGGGGGACAAGGGGAGGGGACAGAGATCGATTTTAACACATAACCTGCCCCAGTCAGCTCCACACAAGGGTCCGGTGCACACACTGAGGGCCTGGTATGATGCCAATTCAAGCCTTGACCCCAAGCCCAGAGTGACCCCAACAACCACCCTAGGCTAAACCCAACCATGACTGCAGACTGAACCTGACACCAAACTGAACCCCAATTCCACTCCCAGACTGAACTCCAACTTGAAACACAGGCTGATCCCTGAGCTCAGCCCAGACTGAGCTCTAACCCTAATCCTAATCCCAAATTAAATCTTGATCCTGACCCTGACCCCAAATCGAACCTTGAACCTAACCCCCAAGGCAGAGGCCTGGCCCAACATAAATAATCCAGGAAAACGCCAGGGAGACCAGGCTGTGAGCCACCCCCCTTCTCTGCTGCCAGGCCAGGCAGCAGGCCCCCCTGAATGTTGGGGCCACCCAGGTAAGGGGAAGAGAGAGGCAGCACAGGCCAGTGACACTTGTGTTACACTGGCCAGCACCAGCCTCACTGCCTGGTTTTAGTTTTATCAAATTGAGGGGTGTGGGATTGGGAGGGGGGTTCACAGCCTGCCTGCCTCTGTGCGAGGTGACCATGTGGGAAGAAAGGAAGGCTAAGCAGGGGCATCCAGGAGGAGACACTGGATGCATACGTCCCCCTGCATAGAGGATTTTCAGGAATGGTGGCCTGACCCAGAGGGAGGCCTGTTCCAGAAGGCGCCATGCCTCTATGGCATGGCGCCTTCCTCCAGGAGGAAAAGACCATTCCCTGGGCCAGCTGGACCAGGGCCACACTCTACAGAGGGTGGCTGTGCATGGGACCCCCTGCGTCTGGGCCTCATTTAACAGTAGGAGATACAGTGTTGGGGAGAAAGTGGTCCAAGTTCTCAGGGCTGGCTGGGTACTGGGGAACCCCTTCCCCCTCCCAGGTGCCCTGTGGTCTCTGAATGCAGGGCCAGGGCCCCAGGGAGGCCCGCTTGAGCCACTTTCCACATCGCCCCATTCCCTGGCCTCCATTCCCGCCTCACTGTGAGAACGTGCGCTTGCAGCACCGGGAAAAGATCAGCACGAAGGAATGTGCTGTCCAGGGTCCAGCGGACAGGATGGGCCCAACAGAGAAAGAGTGAGCAAGGAGAGCTCGGGGAGCTGGGAACGGGGAAGGGAAACAGAGATGTGCCAGGCAGCAGGCCAGGCAACGCCAGCCCAGCCATTGTTCCCAGACCCACAGGTCAGGTGCACTGGGACCATAGTCGAATCCCAGCCTCTGCTCAGCATGGCCCCAGACTTCCTAGACTTGCCTGCCTACCTTCTGTCCCAGACCCTGACCTCTGGGGCTGGCCCAGCCAAGGAAAGAGACAGACTCATCCTTTGCTCCCCCAGCTAGCTTGATGGGCCTCTGTCTGTCTTTCTGTATGTCTCCCCTCTCCTTCCTCATGTCCAGGTCCTTTCACAGTCTTACTCTGTCCAGACCTCCCTTGTGGGAGGGAGCTTCTGCTTTCAATGGCCTGATAAGCTAGCCCACCTGTGGGCTTTGATAACTGCTAATGGCTTAGACCTGCATCTTTAAATTGTGGTCCCCAGACTCATAACATCAAAGTCACCTGGAAACTTGTTAAATGCAAATTATCAGTCCCAACCAAGGCCTTCTCAACCAGCAATCTGTGTTTTAATAAGCCCTGCGGTGTCCTGTGCTGCACACTCAAGTTTGAGAACCGCTGACTTAGAATGTAACCTTGCTTAAGCCCACAAACATTGATAGAATTAATGAGTAATTGACTGAACGACAAAGTGGGTGAATGTTTCAAGAGGCCTGGTCTTATCCCCAGGCTTGAGTAGAACAGTTCTTTCATGCCCATCTGGTGTCCAAGAGAGTTGCAGACCAGAACAGGAAAGGGCTGACCAGCTGGGCTCCTTCTGAGATGGAGCAGGCTTTCAGACAACATCACTTGCAAAAAGCCCATCCAGTGGGCCTAGGGCCCAGGCAAACACAAAGAGGACAAGCCAGAGTTGATGGGAGGAAGGGGACCAGCGGGTCAATGGGATGTAGCATCCGGAATCTGGGACCTGGGAACCAGGCATGAAGGCAGAGGTGGGGACATCCAGTGGCAGGTAAGAATGTCTCTGGTACATGGCTGGAATTCAGGACTCTTATGCTGGGGAAGAATTGACAAGAAGGGCCCTGGGAGCAAACTGAGCCTCCATTACTAGAACTGGACACAAGATTGGACACTGATGACTTGGACATTAAACTTGGCTCCTTCAGAAATGCCCTAAACTGAGGTCAGGCCTGGCCGCTGAGTTTGGGGCTGAGCTGAGCCTGCCAGTGGAGTCCAGGGACCCCAGCTGAGGAGGAGACAGGGAGCTGCATGGTGAGAACCAGGCATGTTCTAAGTCTTGGTAGCTCATCCCAAAGTCTAGTCTTGGAGTCAGATCGCTCCTGAAGCTAGGATTGCCCTTCCCAGAACTTCACACCAACTTGATGAGTGAAATCTTCCCAGCTTCCCAACTGCCTGGGTCTTGCCCAGTCTCGGTCACAGTTGACTGAATCATGACTCATATTTTCAGAATAAGTTAGAGAGATGAGCAAGGTCTGTCCTTACCTCCTTGTTCTGTCCACCTGCCAGCTCTTCTCCATTCAGTGTCAAGCAAGAGAGGACAAATCACGTGGTCAGAGCTCCACACTTTCTTGACACCAGGCAACCTCCACGGCCAACTTCCTCCAACACTGAAAGGGTAATTTCCCACTTGACGTGAAAAAAGATGCATCTTTACCCACAGCCACCATCTCTGCTGGATAACTTGATGTTTCAAGTCCAAGAATCCCTGAGGTGTCCTCGAAACCTGCATGGCTGAGTATGTCCCACTTGTCCTAGAAAAGATGTCATGAGGAAAAATGGCACCTGTATCAAAGAAGTGTTGGAAACAATGCATACCAGGCCCCCTCCTTGGTAAATCAATGTCCTTATTAACAATTAAAAGTTCTGAGAAGTCCTGCAAGAGAGAAGCCTGTCTGACTGTCAAATGCAGTGTTTCCCAGCTCATTAGATCCAGAACTTTTTTTTTTTTTGCCTCCCAAAACTACATTCTGTGGAACGTCACTTGGGAGACACACCCAAAATGCAAAGTGGCATTGCTCACTGCCATCTTGACACAGAGGAACTTCTTTCCAGAACTTCAGGGAGGAAAAGCAGAAGTCAGGGGAGAGTTTTATTAAAAGGCCCTGACGCCAAGAGAGCAGGGACCCTGGAGACCCACATGGCCAGGTGGTCTGGGCAATGTGGCCTTGAGGCAAAAGGGAGCGCTGGGCTCTCCCTCTCCCAGGTACCAGTTGATCTACAGCTTTCCCATCTGTAACTCAGGCACTTTTCGAGACCTAAGTAACAGTGCATGAACATCCCTCTTTCAACCTCCAGGAGACCCCATCTTCAGAGCCACTGACCCCAGAAACGGTGTCATCAAGCAGGAGCCTCAGAGAAGAGGCAAGCTTAACCAAGAGGGGAGGTCAGCTCTCTGCTGCATTATAGAAGAGAAAACCAAGAGCAGTCTGGAACAGCCAGGCTGCAAAGGAATGACAGCATCTCCCCGCAGCCCTGGGGGCAGGTACAGCCTCATCCTTTGGCTGGACTTGAACCAAAGACCAATCCACCTGATTCCCTAGCCCTACCCAGCTGGGCTCCCATTCTGTCTCCTTCTAGTTCCTCTGCATCCCCCAGGGCCTGGGGCGACCCCTCCAACCCTCCACCTGCGTGCTTTGAGGCCTCTGTCTTCTTAGGGGTGGAAGGAAGAAAAATCCTGTTACCACTCCCTCCCTCCCGCCTGGACTCTTGGCTGCCTTCTGAAGCCGGACAATACAGGGAAGTGTTTGCACCCAAACAACTCCACTGCTTCAGGAACTGCCTGACCCTGCCCAGGAAAGCAAAATTCTTCAGCTCCACCCTGCTGCCCTCTCAGTCTGGGGACCAGAAACCGAAGCTAACAGGGTGGCCCAGCAGAGAGGTCACCAGAGCAAAAGGGGTCATAGGCATCCCCAGTGAGGCGAGAGGGGAGTTCAGGGGTCACCACTCTCAAAGGACTGGGGCTTTCCCTCCTCCCCAAATCAGAAAGGGAGCTCTGCCCTGACTGCAGAATAGACAAAAGCCAGATTATCAACATTTATCTGGAGAGCCGTGGCTCTGGATTAATCTGGCCTGAAGATAATGTAAATAGCACTTTGATGTGATTTGAGAAATGTATTAATTCATTCAACAAGCATTTGCTGCACTTGGATTCTGGGCCAGGCCCCAAGCCGGGCACTGGGGATCTGGGGTGGATCAGCCCCCACCCTGCCCTGGAGAGGCCCACAGTCTAGGGGGAGAGAGAGACACCCAAAATGAAATAAGGGGGCAGATGGGGGCCTACTCTGCCCCAGCTGAAGTTCCTCCTGAGAAATGCCATTCTGGGGTTGGCTAAAATAAGAGCTCGAGGGATCAGGGCACGTGCGGGTAGGATGGGTTGGGGGGCCCCATCACCAAACGCACCCACGGCCATGGCCACCCAGCTCGGGAAGCCACAGGGTTAGCACAATTTGTAAAAGCAGACGTCCGTCCCCACGTTTGATAGACTGAAATGCCCTCCCAGAAAAAGCCCTTCGTTCCCATCGGGTCCGCTTTCCCCTGGCCAATCCCCACAGCCCTGAGGTGCAGGACACCAGGTACGAGCCAAGGCTGTAAAAAGCCACAAGAAGATGAAGCAGACTGAATTCTCCTGAGTGGCTGGCACAGAACCGCCCATGTGACACGGCCACAGGGTGACCTCCGGGCATTCCTGCGTACGGACCTTCTGTGCTCATCAGCTCCCTGTTTCCAGAGTGGAGTGGAGAGTGTGGGAGGGATGTCAGTGACCCCAGGCTCCCAGATTGACCCCAGTGGGGCGCGGACAGCAGCCTGCCTTTGATTAAACGGAGGCTGAGATGGAAGGAGGCGGGAAGACCGAGGCACGGGCTGCCGGGGGCAGCTCAGGTCAAGACAGCCAGCCTGCCTGTCACAGCCCCTCACGCCCACCTCACCGCCCCGCGTGTCACAGCCCCTCACGCCCACCTCACCGCCCCGCGTGCCAGAGTCTGTGTTTTTGTCTTTCTCGGGAGGGGGAGGGGTGCGGCTCGGAGCCTTGAGTGATGAGTTAAGTGACAATGAATTTGCACCACATGGAGCCGGGGCTTAAGGGGAAAGTGTTTTGGTGAAATGCAGCTGGGATTTCATCAGCCCCCCCACCCCACAGACAGTACAAAAATAGTCCGGGCCAGGCAGGCTCTGACCCACAGGCCTGGCCCAATTTCCCGCCCCCTGTCCTGGAGAGAGGCTTGGAGTGGCCTCTTTCCCTGAATCTGAGTTTCGTAATCTTTCCTTGTTGTTTTGGTCGCTTGTTTGTTGACTAGCCTGGTTTGTCTGGGAGGGTTTGCTCCCTGACAAGCTCCCTGCTGCTTGGCCCAGAAGAGAGAGTGAGGCAGGAAGACCCTCTCTCAGTGGGTCAGTGACAAGGCCCACTGGAAAGACTGTCACAATGATAGCTGGGGGGCTGGTTGGGGCACCCTGTGGCCTTTGGAGTGTGGGTGGGTGAGGGACACTGGACACTAGGGTGGGAGGTGGGCTTCATCCAAGCAAGAGCTAGAAGGCCCCGTCAACATCACAAGTCCAGCCCCATTCCTTGGAGGGGGAAACTGAGGCCAGAGGCAGGAAGTGAATGCTCCAAGGCACGGGAAACTGTTAACAGCACAACCAGGATTCATTCCAAGTACCAGGCCCCAAGGGCCTCGCACCAAGGAGGCATCCACCATGTTGATGGATTGGGAGTGTGGTCAAAGCCTTCCATACCAATCCTTGGCTCAGAGGAAGGAAACAGAGGGAAAGCTGGGCCCCCCAGGCGGACATAGAAGGCAGGCAGGCCTCCACCACCCTGAGCATCTGTGATCAATAATCTCCTTCCTCCAGGTGCAATGGTGAAAGCCACTTCCAAGGGCCCTTCCCAGGGTTGGGAAGGAACAGGGCCCACAGGACAGCAGTTCCCAGAGGGAGAGAGATGCACCTGCAGTGAGGCCAGGGGCTGTTGGGATGGGGAGCAGGGCAGGGACACCCCCAGGTGAGGGGCTAGAGACAAAGGCCCCGGCCACAGTGTCCCTCAGACCAGCTGACGGGGGCTGCAGACCTGATAGTCCAGAGTCACAGGTGGAAATCTTAGCTCAGCCCAGACCCCTAGACCAGGGCTGGACCCTGCCATCCTGGGGGTTGGAGTGATGGCCCTGAGTGAGCAAGGCTGCAAGGTCACAGGTGTTCAAAGTCCACTTTGAGAACCAGTCTCCTATCCTGAGCACTCGGATTACTGACCAGAGCAGTGAGGCTAAGAGAGACCAGGTCCTGGGGACCAGAATGGACAGAGTAGCTGATCTGAGCACTGGGACCTTGGCAAGTGGTAGCAGAAGGGGCCTGGATTCAGACTGACCTGGGCTCTCCCTCAAGTTAATAACATAATGGATATCAAAGGACTGTACCCTGGGATGAGGGGCCAGGAGGGGCTACCGGAAGTGCACCTGGGGAGCCTGTGGAGGTCAAGCCAGGGCCCGTGTGCAGCCCACGGCGGTTCCTGAGCCTGCCTCCCCTTCTCCCGACGTCCTCAGCCTGCCCGGGGGCTGGAGGAGCAGCTGTGAGGGCTGAACCAGTAGAGTTCTCCTCTTACCAACCTCAAGAGTATAGAGTCAAGATCATCTGGGTCTTCCCAGAGCCTCTCCCACTTTCTCCTCCAGCTGGGACCCCCAGAGAGAGCCAAGACCCCCAGGACCACAGGGCAGGACCTATGTGGGTCCTTCCTGCCTTGGTCTCCCCATGCAGGGTCAGGCCAGAGCACCTCAAACGCACACAGGAAGAGTGGTTGGGGCACCGGGATCCCCACTGCTGCCCCCTGCTCCGCTGACTCAGAGACCCAGCCTGCCCAGAACCCCCTGCTGGCCTGGCTCCCCACCTCACTTCCAGAGGGTTTCCGCTCCCTTTCTCTCCCATTGTTTTCCTCCTTGGTCCCTGGCCAGCCCCCAAAGGCCAGGCTGAGCCCTGTTGAAGCCAGTGCAGCTAAGGAATGGAGGCATCCAGCTGGGGCTCTGGGAGGCCTGGCCCAACCCCAGGAGTTTGGGGAGTGGGGGGGAGGTTTCTTCCCAATCTTCCTGGCATGGGTGGGAATTAGGGGCTCGGTGAGTTGGGGAGTGGTGGTTAGACAGGCCTGCTTTTGAATCATTTGTCAGCCATGTGGAGAAGTGACTGACCTTCTCTGAGCCTCAGTTTCTTCCTCTGTCAAGTGGAGATGATGATAACACCTCCCTGCCATGGTTGCGGGGATTGAGTGAGATACGACACCATGGGCAGGTCCTAATGGTGGTACCTAGAACAAAGGAAGTACCCAGTAAGGGTGGCTGCCATGTCTGTGCCAAAGACGGGCAGGGACTCAGGGTAGAAGATGTTGGCAGAAGGTACCAGTGGAATAAGGAAGGTTAGTCTGAGCTGTCCAAAGATGATGCCCATGGCCCCAGAATGCCCTCTCCTCCTTCCGTCTGCTTAGTTCCTCTGGTAGCTCCGATGGCGACAGGCAGACAGACAGAGCAAAGCCCCCCGACCACATTCATATCCATGGAGACCCCCAGCCCCAGCCCTGGAAGTTCTGAGGGACCCTCAGACAGTGTCCCCACTTCAGAAGCAGATGTTCCCCCACGACACTGGGCACAGGGCAGGTAGGCTCCATGCTGACCCTCACGAGCCCAGCAGCCCCGGTTTCCTACCTTCCAGAAGAACCAGTGGAACCAGCCTTGGCAAAGCCTGTTCTGATTGACTTGGCAAGGCATGGAACTGCCCTTGGCTACCCAACACCTCACCCGGAGGCCTGGGGGACTGGACAGGATGGCTCCTGTACCTCAGCTGGTCTGCTTCTCCTCCTGGGCCAGGGACGACAGCGTCACTCCTCAGGGCCTAAGAGCCACCTCTCTCTCCTCTCTCTCTGTCCCTCTCTATGTCTACTCTCTGTCCCCCCACCCACCCCACTTGCAGAGCAGCAGTGAGGAGCAGTGGTTAAGGACACAGACATTGGAAGCAGACTACGTGGTTTAAATCCCAGCTTTACCATCCAATGGCTGAGCGGACCTTCTGTGTCAGGCTCCCTGTCTGTAAAATGGGTTAGTAATAGCAACAGTACCTCATTCCAGGGAGGCTGGAATGAGTTAATACAAGTCCTCTGAATGGTATCCAGCTCAGGGTGAAGACTCAATAAATGCTCGCCCTCGTTATTTTTTATTTGTGTCTCCGTCTTGCATGTTTGTTGAGTCAAATTTTCCATGGGTAAGGGGGTGCAGAAGGAGGCATGAAGCTCTGCGGTCTAAACTGCCTCTTGCTTCAGGGCCTCCGGGCTAGAGGCTACAGTACTAAAGGATTCCTTTCAGTTGGGGCCAGTGATGCTCTGATAAAGCTCGACCACAGGATGTGGAATCGTCGGGCTGTGTGCTCACACCCCAGGCCTTGGAGGCTGGACCAGCTGAGGCCTTTCTGGGCGGGGAGGCAGCAAAGCCCTGAACCCAGACCACAGGCTGGCAACACTTTTGCATCCCCAGTGCCCTTCTCTCCCTGCTTCACCCCCGCCACCTCCATGCCAAATATCTGGCCTCCCCTCCACGGCTACTTGTCCCTCCCTTCCTAGGAGGCTGAGAGTCTCAAAAGCCAGCATCCCAGCATTCCAGACACTTGGAATTATAGGGCGTGAGTGCAGTGCTAGAAGGCTGTCTAACACAGCTCTGGTTTCCTTGCGAGAATAGCCTCTGCCGTCTTCCTGAAGGTAAGCAGCCCTGCCGGTTGGGATCCCCCTGAGATGGGGAGCTCACTACCACAATGACTTGAGCCTGCCATGTGCTTTCATTCATTAGGGTCCCACTTTCCCAGTGAGGTCAGAAGGGTAGTGTTCCCCACTGAGGGAGAACCAGTCCAGGCCACCGCTGGCCAGTTCCCACAGCTTGAATGTTTCCTCCAACCCAGACCTGCCTCCCTCCCCAGCTACCCCATGGCGGGTCTCTGCGCCAGCAGCTTCGTGCCCCAAGGTTGTCTTTCCTGTGCGCCAGCCCCAGTTCCCTCGGACCACCTGCTTTTTCAGGATCTCTTTTCTGAGGCTGAGGCCTCTGGGGAGACATCTAAGCCCCATTCTGCCAAGCACAGCTATTGGCAGAGAAGGGAGTAAAAGAGGGGCACATTGCGTGAGGTGTGCTCCATGATGGGGACTCTGTGCAGTCCCCTTGACAGCTGGCGACTGGTCACCCTGCAGCACCCTAACACCCTGGGAGGGGGTGGACAGGCAGGCAACACTGGGGGCCCTAGAGGCTCTTTCAAGCAATGCCAAGAAGCTGCTGGGTGAGTTGGTGCAGAGTGACAGCTGTCACCACTCCTGGCAGGGGGTATGTGTCTACATTGTGTCAAAGCTCAGCTATTCCCAAGGCAGCCCCCAGGAGAAGCTCTCTGAGCTGTGTTATCCAGAAGGGAAGAAGGAGCCCTCTGCACGCAGGGCCCCCGCCTCAAGGAACCCAGGCAGCGCGAGCTTTGGCCCCAGCAGGGCCTGGGGTGAGGCAGGATAACCACAGGGCTCCGGCCCTCCAGATGTGCAGCCGGCATTCCGCCATGGAGACAGGGCGGAGCAGCAGCCAGGGGCCCAGATGGGCTGCATTAACCTGGGAGCAGGCTCTTTGGGACCCAGATGCTCTGTGTTTAGCCGGCTAGCCGGCTTTCGGCTCCAGATGTGGGCCTGGGCTTGGGGCAGGACACAGCTCCAGATGTGTATGTCCTGAGCAAGAGGGCTATGGGGGCCTAGGTCTTTGGGGGCTGGGCCAAGGGGCCTCCCTACTCACACCCTCTCCAGCACCCCCAACCCCAGCCCATGGGCCCCATGGCTGAGAGGACTTCAAGGTTCACAAAAACTCTGACTCAGGAGCCACAGAACCCAGAGGCTCTTGCCTCGTTTCATAAGCAGGGACAGAGCCCAGGGACCTGCCCAGGGTCGTGCAAGCCCGGGACTGGCTGGACCCCCAAAGGGAGCAAAGTCTGAGGTCCCTCAGACCACAGGCAGCTTGGCAGGTGTAGGGGGAAGGCACTTTGTGGCCGGGGGCCTGCCTCTCCCTGCCCCCACACAGACACTCTCGGCCCCACACAATCAAGTGACCTGGACATCCTTGGCTGAGCAGTGGGAGGAGGCACTGCCCTGACCTTTGAGGCAGGATCCACAGGGTGGGGAACGCAGTCCAGCCCTGGGAGGAGAATCTCAGAGGGGGCAGCCTTGACCTGGAGGTCCCACCCCTCAGCCTCCCCCTAGTCCGAGCAGTGCTGTTCCATGTGGGGAGTGGAGGGGCAGGAGCCCAGCTTGGCAAAGACCTGGGCTGACTGCTGAGCCTCTGACCCTGGGTGCTCGGCCACCAAGCTGAAAAGAGGCGCTTCTGCTCACCGCATGCTCCCCGTATGCGGGCCGAGTGCAAGCCCCTTACCTGCCACTTAGGTGCCTCACAGCTCCCGGGTGGGGTGCGGTGTCCTCATCTCAGGGATGGCAGCTCCCAGAGGAGACTGGGCCGGGCCAGGCAGGGCCAGGCAGGGCTGGAGCAGCAGGGAGCAGCCCATGGCCCAGGCTTGATCTCAGACCTGGGGCTCTGCAGGCTGGGGCCTCCACATGGTGCCTGGGAAAAGACTTCATAACGGAGCCCAGAGGAGGTGCCCTCCCTGGGCCTGACCCTCCTCCCTCCATGTAGCGCATCTGCTCCTTATGGTGGGGCAGCCTAGAGGAGCCCAGAGACCCTGCAGCAGCCCCTCCTTGATGTCAGGGGCTCCCCCTCCCCACCCCTCCCAGCAGGCCCTAGACATGTGGCTAAGAGGGCAAGGATGGAGGCCAAGGGCAGGCCCTCAGGAAAGCCCTTCATCCTCTAAGCTTCAATCCCCATGTCTGCACAGTGGCCCCAGCTCTGGACTCAGCCAGGACAACATGGCGGCCACAGAGGGCAGAGGTCAGGGGTTAAGCCCACCTGACCACGGCAGCTGCCAGGGGGCCCAGCCTAGAGGGGAGGGGTGAGCAGACACAGCGCCTCCTGGGCATCCCACGGCCTCCTAACCCTGCCCTGGCAAAGCAGCCCAGAAGAGGGTCAGCAGGACCTGTACAGTCTGGCCTGGGTGGGGAGGCTGGCTAGGGGACCCAGCTGAGGAGAGAAACACTAATAGGTTATGTCAGGCGAGCGCTCTGGGGAGGGGGCCGCACCTCTCAGCTCTGGCAGCCCCACCTGGCGCCCGTGCCCCAGAGCTGGGGCCTGGAGAGAGATGCTGGCTTGCTTCTGAGTGCAGCATGAGGGCCAGGGAGGGGGCTGCTGGCCCCTGAGCGGGGAAGCCTCATTTAGCCATGGTAGCCAAGAAGGCAAGACAATGATGAGCCCCCAACCTCTATCGGGCCCCTGTCGGGTGGTAAACAAAGAGACACCCTCCATGGGCTACAAGTCTGTCTGAGCCTATGTGTAGTTCAACTTGGTGGGGAGCAAAGCCCTGGGACGACCCCCACCCCCAGCCTCAGGAGGGTCCTCTCACATCCCCTCACTTCCTCCTCCACCCCCACCCACAACCCAGGGTTCCAGGGTCCCATCGCCGAGTCAGGGGACCCTGATTTCTCATCCACAGACTCTCACTGTTCTGCCCAGGGTCTGCCCAGCACTCCCTCATCCTCCGAGATGCACCTTACAGCCCCTAACACCACTGTCCCTCTTGGGGTTGGGGTGGGGTCAGGAGCTGGGGCACAGGGAGAGGCCTGAAAGTGAGCCCCACTCCCAGGGCTGTGGACTCCGCGGAGGGCTAGGAGCTCAAGGAAGTAGAAGGGGTGCTCGATGCAAAGGGGGGGTCAATGAAAGGCCAGAGACAGGCCTGGGACTGAGGAGGGGGCCCCTCACAATCATGGCTGGGCAGCCAGGGCCCTGTGTGTCTTGGCCGAGCAGGACCCCTGGGCCGCCAGGTATGTAACAATTCCAGCCATTTCCTGCCCTATTAATGAGAAAGGGGCTGATATAAATACACGCTCAGCATAAATAAATACAGGCCAGGCCCCGGACTGCATAGCAGACAGATTGCGTGGAGCTGCTGGCCAGCCCTGCAGCCAGTTCCCCCCACCCTGCCCGCAGCCCTCCCGCCATCGCCCCCCACTTGTTTTCCTCCAGCAGGCCAGGGCCCCTCCACACTCACAGGCTTGAGACAGATGGACTGACCACCCTCCCTCTCGGCCTCAAAACAAGGACCCTGTGGCCCCTGGGAAGGCCTGAGGCCGGAGAGAGGGAGATGGGGTTCCCAGTGCCTCCCACACCAGGCCTGGAGTGGGTGCCACTCCTGCACAGACCTGGTGTCAGCCCTGTGAGGCCCAAGGCTATGGTTGTACCTGATGGCAGGTGGGGAAACTGAGGCTCACGGGGTTAAGGAACTTGCCCAAGGTCACAGAGACAGAAGGTTGTGGATGCAGGATTCAAACCCGAGGCTCTCTGACCCCAAGGCCTCTGATCTTCCCACTGCCGGTGAGGAGAAGTCAAGAGCAGATTCACATCCTCCTCCTTCCTCCCAAGCTCCAGCCCCGCGATGCCAGGGCCCCTGGAAGGCCCAGGGGGACTTATGTTCAGGATCTGGAAGTGTAAGCATCATGGAGCCAGATCTCAGCTTGTGTAGGGACTCCATCCAACAGAGCTGCACAGGCCGGCCCCCTCCTCTCCAGCTCGAGACCACCTCCTAGCAGGGGTGTCCAGGAGGCCTATCTCCTCTCACAGGATTCTCCCTGCTCAGTGTTGCCCCAACACAGGTGTCAGCCTGTGTCCTAGGACCCAGCCTAGATCTGCCCTGGGCACAGATCAGCAATGGTGGCTGAGGAAACCCAACTACCGAGAAGGGAGGAGCCTGACAAAGTTCACACAGCGAAGGCCAGATGTGGGGCCTTTCTCTCAGCTGCCGTCCATTCCTCTCTTCCAGGCCTCATTCAATTGCCACCTCCTTTAGGAAGGCTTCCAGGCCTGCTCCCAGCCCTCCTCTGCCTTCAAGCCTCTGAAGTCTTCTCTCACGATATGTCTTAAGTGGGCACTTAGCCCAGGGCACAGCCACACGAGAGTGCCACCTACAAAGCCCCAGTGTGGAGAGTAGGGGTCTAGGCCTTTAAAAGTTGCAGACTCATCATCACCAACAGCCAAAGATCTTGGCGCCAACTGTTCGAGGGGCAAGTGGAGCAGGTGGGCATGCCCAGGACAGCAGGGTCCCTAAGCCCCAGCTGGTCCCCTAGCTCCACACTACCCCTGGTCCAGGGCCCTGGCTAGGCCCTCTCCCTCTGGCAGGCTGGGCCCATGACCTATTTGCCCCCAGCTCCTGCTCCAGCCCTGGTCCCTTCTGCCTGTGCTCACTCTAGCCTTATAAGGTCTCAGCCCCAGACCTGCAGGGATGAGCAGGAGGGGTGTAAGTATAGCACGTGAAGGGTCAGAGAGGAGCTCCCCAGGGCCAGGGTCCCCTCCAACCTGCACCCCTCCATCCCCTCCCCAGGCAGTTCTTCCAAGGCCCACCCCATACCATGCTTCAGAGCTACTTCGTTGGAAATACTGAAAGCAGAAGCTGACCCAGAAGACCTCAACGCAGCCATCAGAAAGGACAAGGCATCCATGTGGACTGACTTGGAAATGGGTGGGAGGCATATTGTCAAATTCAAAATGCAATTTGCCTAGCGATACATATCTGTAGCGTATAATCAGAAATCCCTCAGCACAATCTACTGGTGTACTGAGTGCAGCCACTCAGGTTTGCATGTATGTAAAGAATCATGGCTGGAAGGGTATGCCACACACAGCTGACCCTGTTTCTCTCAAGTTTAGAACCAGAAAAGAAGGAAACATTTCTACCTATGTATTTTTTGGTAATTAAAAAAAATTGGGGGGTGAGAAGGGATAAACTGGGAGTTCAAGATTTGCGAACACTAACAACTATACGTAAAATAGATTTAAAAAAACAAATTTCTTCTGTAGAGCACAGGGAACTATATTTACTATCTTGTAGTAACCTATAATGAAAAAGAATATGAAGGGGGAAGGGTGTGGCTCAACAGGTAGAGTGCATGCTTAGCATGCACATGGTCCTGGGTTCAATCCCTAGTACCTCCTCTAAAAATAAATAGACCTAATTACCTCCCCCCAAACAAAAAAATAAATAAATATAAAGTATTTTTTAAAAAAGAAAAAGAATATGAAAATGAATATATGTATGACTGAAACATTATGCTGTACACCAGAAATTGATACACTGTAACTGACTATATTTCAATTAAAGAATAATTTTTTTTTTTAGTAGAAGGAAAAAATACCGACTTTCTGCCCAGGGCTGTGCGAGACTTGTCCCTGGTCGCAGCCTCCAGCCTAGCCCTCAGCTCCATCTTGGCTCCTGTCCTCTCTCCCTGTGCACAGGTACTTGCCATCCACCCCCTCCCCTCTTGGCCTTTGAGGCTCTTCTCCATCGGCTCCCTCCCAATAGCCCAGGCCCCACGAGCCCCAGCCCAGCTTGGTCCCTGGCAGCTCAAGGGCCATCCAGCTCCACAGGCCTGCTCTGGGGCCTCCTTCCCACTGCCCCAGCCCCTACCTTCAACAGCAGGCCAACTTCACACACTTCTGCACTCAGCTTTCCCTGTATGCTCTGTGTGCGTTCTGGAATCTGCGTTGTGTCTACCCCTTTGCCAGGGCCTTGCAGGGCCTTCCTCAGCAGGTGTTCTGCCTAGTCGGCCAGATGGAAGCCCTTCAGACATCTCCCCGCAACATTTCCACTTCTAGAGAAACTCTCAGGTTTGGGCCAAGTCCTCAGACTTGGAAGAAGGGCCTGGAAGTTCACCCCATACCCACCCTGGGCCATCTGCAGGCTTATATGAGAGGCAGGGCAGGAATCCGGGCCTAACTTCCCTTTGGAACCCGAATTGAGAAGGAAAAAGCAGGGCAGAGCTCTCTGGAATGTCTTCCCGTGCTCACACCACCCTCTAGATGGGAATGAGTAAGGGGTGATCACTGACTCCCAAGAAACCATCCCTTCCCCTCTGCTCACAGAATCCCTCACCTAAGGGTGGAGTCTACGGGAATCTGACCCATGCAGCTTGAGCTTGCGTGGCTACGTCAGCCCCCCATCAGCAGGACCTGGGCAGCAGGGCTGAGTAATGAAACACTGCATGTTTCCCTCTCCCTAGAGGAGATGGATCTGTGGGTGGATTTGTGGGTGAGTGGGGGGGTGGGGGTGGATGGATAGGTAGGTGGGTAGACAGGCTAAGGGATGGCTAGGAGGATGGGTGGATGGATGGATGGATGAGTGGGAAAATGAGTGGCCAAGTGTGTGAGTGGATGGATGGGCTAGTTGCAGACTGGCTCAGGAATAATAACTTCTCAAAGGAATTTTTTAAATCTCTGAAATGTGAGGCCCTGGCACCCTCCAGAGGCCAGAGTCTCTAACTACCCATAGCCCCTAAAGCGCTGGGCATCAACAATCTTGAGAACCAGGGGCCTGGACCAAGATAAAGTTAGGAGTTTTAGGAAACAAAACAGGTAGGGCCCAGTGCTGGCTCCTCCCCTGACTCACTCCCAGGACTTGGGAATGTTCAACCTTCTGAGGCTCAGTTTTCTAGTCAGAGAAATGGAGCTGATTGAACCTGATGCCTGTGTTGCTACAAAACAAAATTACGTGTGTCAAGTGTCTGAGATGGTTACTTGGCACGTATGAGGTGATCATAGAATGTGGTTTCCTTCCCAGAGGCAGCCCTAGGGCAGGCGTGCACGCACTCACGTCTCTCCCGCCCAGTACAGAAGAGGGACGGAGAGTGAGCCCCTAGCCCAGACCAGACAGGAGAGGCAGGAGGGGATACATTTATTCTCCAGGGTTCCCAGGCTCTGGCAGAACTGGCCCAGCCTTGGGAGCCCAGGGCTCAGGGAGTGGCGACTCAGACCAGAGCCCCGAGGCCTCCTGGGGCTCGGCCTCCTGGGCCTGGGCCAGCTGGGCTGTGTGCTCAAAGGCAGCCTGCAGCAGGTGGGAGGCCAGGCAGGTGGTCCAGGTGACGAGGTAGGCCACGTGCCAGGAGGTGCGCGCGGTTGTGCTCTCCGCCCGCCGGTACAGACGCTTCAGCAGCGCCAGTAAGTCCAGCACCACGCGGTTCTCCAGCAGAGCCTGGAGGGGGCAGCTGACGGGCAGGGGGCCACCCGGAGCGCACAGGCTGCACCCCGAGGCCGCCGGCCCCCACCCAGCCTTGGCCCCGCCCAGCCTTGGCCCCGCCCAGCGCCTCCGGC